GCGGGGGTGTCAGACAGATAGTTAGACCCATTTCCCAGACTCAGAAGCTGGAGAAGGGAGGCTTGCTGGCCATCCCAGCGGGGGTGTCAGACAGACAGACGCATGAGTCCGCAGTCCCTTGGAGAGGGTGGGTCAGGCTGGAAAGCTCACATGCGGCCCGCTGACTGCTGGGGTGAAACCATGGCCCGGGGCAGGCCATGTGGGGCCGAGAGTGCTTAGAGGAGAGGAGGAAGGTGGCAGGACCCCAGCGAGAGCCAGGAGAGTGTGTCCTGGGGCGAAGTGCAGACCAGGTCACGGAGGAGGGAGTGACGCCTGGCGTCAGGCCTGCTGAAGGCGCAGGCAGGAGCACAGCCAGAAATTCACTGTTGGATTTAGGTGGAGTCCCCAAGGAGACCCTTTTCAAGGGAAGGGTGAGGGGTGCGGGGTCTTCCCAGGACCCCACACAGGCCGCACGTGCTCCGGCAGCCGGACACTTTGATGCCTGAACAGGGGGCGAGTGCTCGTGGAGGCAGGAAGCCCCTCTCTGGATTCCCAGCTCCCCAGCTGTCGTCCTGCCTAAAATAACCCAGCCCCGTGGCCTCCCGTTCCACAGAGCAGCCAACGCAAGACAGAGGCCTCCTTCCACCAGGCAGGCAGCTGGGGCAGGCAGCTGGGGCTGCAGCCATTTCGTGAGCTTTTTTAAGGATCACTTGTTTCCTTATTTATTTTGCCGGGCTTAGGAGGTGGCCGTGAGAGGCCTCACCTTGCAGAAAGGCAGGTTCTAGATGCGGTGGGAGCAGGGCTCTGGGCCACCCCCGGGCTTAAATCCTGCCATTTCCGGTTGTGCGTCCCGGGCCAAGTTACACAGCCCCTCTGTGCCTCCATTTACCTCATCTGTACAATGGGATCGATTCTAGAACTTGCTGCCAGGGACTCGAGGGTTAATGAGTTCTTACACGTAAATTCTTAGATCAATCAGAGTCCGGCGCCGAGTCACGTCTCCCTAAACGGTTGCTGTACTGCCCAGGCTGGGGAGCAGGAGCGTGGCCCCCTGAGAGGGACCGAGCCCGCAATGGCTCACACACATACCCGCTCGTCCCCCTGCAGTGGTACCCAGAGGTGAGTCACTTCTGTAAGAAGGTGCCCGTCATCGTCGTGGGCTGCAAGACTGACCTGCGCAAGGACAAGTCACTGGTGAATAAGCTGCGGAAGAACGGGTTGGAGCCCGTGACCTACCACAGGGTACGAAACCCAGCCCGGGCGGGGAGGGCTGGGCAAGGGCACCTGTGGATACCTCCCGGCGGCACTAGGTGTCTGGCACACTCGGAATGTGGGCAGGAACCGCCAGCACTTGGAAATGGCACCTAGAATACGGTGGCAGGTTCTGCCTGTGGGAGGGAGAACAAGGGGGAGCGCCGCGTGTCAGGGTGACTCTGCCCAGTGCACCACGGACGGGGAACCTGAGGCCCAGGGAGGATGCCCAGCTATTCGGTCTTTGGGCCCTGCTCTGCTGCGTGCCCGGGTTAGTCAGAGATTAAACAGTCGGTGCCTTGAGAGGGAGAGAGACGCAGCCTGGAACCGGGGCAGGAGACACAAGGGAGTGGACGAGAGCCTTGGGCAAGCCAGGCTGCAGAAGCTGCGGGTGCCCCAGCAAACCTGCCTTCCACTCCCGTCCTGGAGACCCCCTAGGAGGCAAAGGGCTGCAGGGAGGCCAGACGTGAGGCCCACCCAGCACCCCCACCTCTCCCCGTCAGGGCCAGGAGATGGCGCGGTCCGTGCGTGCGGTGGCCTACCTCGAGTGCTCGGCTCGGCTGCATGACAACGTCCACGCCGTCTTCCAGGAGGCAGCCGAGGTGGCTCTTGGCAGCCGCAGTCGCAACTTCTGGCGGCGGATTACCCAGAGCTTTTGCGTGGTGACTTGACCGGCGTGCGGCCCTCCCCACCTTGGACCACCCAGCAGCCCGGGAAGGAGCTGGGCACTGACCTGCGGGGTTGGCTGCGCTGTACCCAGTCCCCAGCTGTGGCTGCTGAGCGCACCTCAACAGATGGGCGCCACCCAGGGGCCTGGGAACCCTGGACTGAGGAAGGGGGTTCCCAGGCCGACCAGCCCTGTGGAAAGCTGGTCCTGCAGTCCGCTGGACTCACTCTCAGACTCCCAGCGCCCAGTCTTGGACCGACATCCCGGAGTGGCCCGTGCAGCCTCACGCCACCTTGTGGCTGTTCCCAGGGCTGCACCTGCAGGACCTGGAGATCTTAGGACTCTCCTGCCAGAACCCCACACCCTGCCCCTTCCCCCTTCCCCCTACCCTTCCCAGTGGTAACTATAACAACTACGATGACATCACTTGTCATTTGTGCCATGCCTCTTATTTCAAAGCAACTTTATACACATGTTCCAAGGTGGGTAAGAGCCCACCCATGTAGGTACTAGGGTGGGACTGCTTGGATCCAAACCCGGCTTTATTGTTTCCAGGACCTTGGGCAAGTTCCTCTGGGCCTCAGCATCCTGACCTGTGAAATAGGAATAATCTCAGACTACTTTATGGGGCTTTGGGATGAGTAAGAGGGTCATGAGGACCGGCACATGCAAAGAGCTCAGCAGGCGCATAGCATGCAGTAAGAGGCCGCAAAAGGTTCAGCAGGGTGTGGTGGCACGTGCCTGTGGTCCCAGGTACTCGTGAGGCTGAGGAGGGGGATCACTTGAGGCCGGGAGTTTAAGTCCAGCCTGGGCAACATAGTGAGACCTCATCTTTGAAAAAAAAAGGTTCACCGTTTTATTTATTTATCTATTGTATTAGGCTTCTCCAGAGAAACAGAACCGCAGGATGTACATATGAGTATCTATATATATATGGAGAGAGAGATTTATTTTAAGGAATTGGCTCACACAATCGTAGGGGCTGGCAAGTCTGAAACCTGTAGGACAGGCTGGAAATTCAGATGAGTCGGTGTTGCTGTCTTGAGTCCGAATTCTGCTGGGCAGCAAGCTGGAAACTCAGGGTTTCTATGTTGCTGATGTGAGCAAAGTTCCTTCTTTTTTTTTTTTTTTTTTTGAGACAGAGTCTCACTCTTTTGCCCGGGCTAGAGTGAGTGCCGTGGCGTCAGCCTAGCTCACAGCAACCTCAGACTCCTGGGCTCAAGCGATCCTCCTGCCTCAGCCTCCCGAGTAGCTGGGACTACAGGCATGCGCCACCATGCCCGGCTAATTTCTCTATATATTTTTAGTTGTCCAATTAATTTCTTTCTATTTTTAGTAGAGACAGGGTCTCGCTCTTGCTCAGGCTGGTTTCGAACTCCGGAGCTCAAACAATCCGCCCGCCTCGGCCTCCCAGAGAGCTAGGATTACAGGCGTGAGCCACCGCGCCCGGCCAGAGTTCCTTCTTCTTTGGGGAACCTCAGTGTTTTCTCTTAAGGCCTTCAACTGATTAGGTGAGGCCCACCCACTTTGCGGCGGGTCCTCTGCTCCACTCAAAGTCTACTGATTTAAATGTTGATCACTTCTAACACAACGCCTGCACAGCAACACGTAGACTAGTGTTTGACCAAATAACAGGGCACTGTAGCCTACTCAAGGTGACACATAAATTTAACCATCACATCTATTTATATCTCTATCTAATCATCTCATGCTTAATAGTCATAATACTGCCCAGAGATAAGAAGCAACAAGGCAGAACTTCTCCCCCACCGTTTATCAGATAAGAGCCAATCACCACACCCACCTTCTTGCTCACACTCTCAGCCTCCCCCACCGCCCCGTGCCCTCCTGTCTCACTCTCAAGCCACCGTGATGAGCTCATCATCTCAGCGCCACCCCCGCCCCCGCCCCGCAGGCTCTCTCCCCTGGTAAGTGCCCCAGCCACCCCTTCATGCTGGGGTAGAGGCCCCTCCTCTGCGTTTATCCCAGGATGTTACAGACCTGGCTTCCCGATTAGGCTTTGAGGGCACCAACTGTGAGTCCCCTGTGTGACATTCGTAGCTCTTGTCATAGTGTTGAGCACATCAGAGAGCTCCTCAAACACCAGGCTGCTGAAGGAATGGATGATGGAGCCCCTGATCCTCTCCGGGAAGGAGGCCGAGCAGCACCCGGGTCTCTCGACATCGCGTCAACATTCCCGCCCTCCTGAGTAGGACACACTGTCCAGCCCAGCTCTACTCCGAACAATTCATTCCACGCTTCCGGTACCTCGCCTCTGTGCCCAGCGCCATGCTGGGCAGCTGACGGCATTTTGTCACTCCCGGCAGTCCTACAGGATTGGCATGATTGAGATACTGAGGCTCACAGAGGGAAACTCCCGTAAAATCACACACAACTATAGGAAGTGGCAGAACAGATTTGTGCCCAGATCTGCCACTGACTCTGGAGACAGAACACTCTGAGATGCCAACGGGGCAAGCCACAGCCTCACCTAGGGGCTGGGAACAAAGAAATGAAGGAGACAAGGACCTGACTTCAAGGCAGCTGAAGTCTCGTGCAAGAAGACAGGTCTGCGAGAAGTCGGTGTGAAAAGCATGGTAGCGAAATCCTTATCAAGGGCTCAAGAAACACGTTTTGGGAAACTAGAGAAGAGAGCTGTCTGAGCTGGGCGTGGCTCCCCCGGCTGGAGCAGAGCAGGGAAGGGTATTCTGGGCGTGGGGTCTGCTTAGGGGAAGAACAATCAGGCTGGAAATGGGGGCTGGGTTGTTTCCCATCCCAGAGCAGATTGTGCTAAAAACCCAAAGTGCAGCATGTCGTCTAGGTAGGGTTTGCCACATAGGCCCATAATACCGTTTCACCGGCCACAGCTCAGCCCGTAACCCGCACCGCGAGCCCCCACCTGGCTGACGTGGTCCCTCACCTGGAGCTGTTTCGAATGAAACCGCCGTGATGGGCATCAGTGGCTGGTTTTCCTTAAGTATCACGTGCACTGGCCCAAAAGAAACGGTCCAGTTCAGGTTCAGGGAATAATGTGATGCTCCAGGTTTGCTCTGACTCAGCAACATGAGAAAATATCCGCTTGGTTGTGGTCAGAGCTTACCAAGAGCTTTGAGTAGGTTCACGTCGCATTTGAAGAGCGTCTGGATTTGAGTCCAGAACACGTGGTCACAGAGGAGATCTGCGCGGCTCTGGCTGCTGCTTCGTGGTTTGCCTCAGATCAAGCTCCGGGCATGAGAAAGTTATCCAGGCCGGAAATGGAGCCGCGGCAGGTGGGGTCATAAGTGGCTCGGCCAGAGGGGTACACGGTGGGGAGGGCGCTCAGACCACATTCAGTTGGGACACCCCGCCCCCCCTCCCCGCCTGTTTTAGGAAATGACTTGTCCCTAAGCCCCTGCAGGACTCTAAGTGCCATACAGGAGAGCCCACCCGGGGCGGGTTTTCTCACAGAATCAGCTGTAATGAGTTCACGTTTCCTTAACACTCAGAATGCCAGGCGCCGCGCTCCAGGAAGTAGCCCATGTCATGGTCACAGGCCTGGCAACCTAGGTCCTATGACAACACCCACTTCGCAGCTGAGGAGACAGAAGCACAAAGGGCTCAGTAACCTGCTCGCGACCTCAAGAAGTGGTAGGGCCAGGATTTAAGCCCAGGACAGTGTGACCAGAATCCAGGCCGTCGACCCCTACCCTAGACCCCAGTCCTGAGTCGCCAGCTCTGGCCCCCCAGCCCTGGACCCCTGCCTTGCACCGGGAAATCCTGACCCCAGGGAGCTCACAGATTAGGGAGATGAGAATGCGCAGAAGTGTCTCAGGGATTGGGAGGGCCCTCCTCGCTCAGCTGCACGCTCGCTGCCCTCAGCCGTCTCAGACATGGTGGTGCCAGGCTTCCCGTGCGGCTTACCCCAGACACCGGCCAGTCTGGGCAGGGCTACGACTCACAGGAAGGTCAGCCGGCGGGTCAGAGTGTGAAGCGGGCTGAGCAGTGCCCAAGGAACCCAGCAGAAGGAGAGAGACTGGAGTTATTGGGGTTCCCACTCTGTGCCAGGCCCTCGACTGATGAAGCGCCATTGCTAGACCCATTTCAGAGAAGCAGCAGGCAAGGAGCAGCGCAGAGGAGTAATCTGGGTTGGCCCATGTGGCCAGAGGTAGCACCGAGGTTAACTCAGCCTCTCACTGCACTTCACTGAGGATGCATCTGGGAGGTCAAGGTCAGGGGAGAACCGCCCTTTGTGGGCAAAGGGAAAACAGGATGGGGCCAGGGGGCTGGAGGACCTGGAGGGTGCTGAGGCAGAGGAGGGGCGTCTGCGGCCACCCCTCGGAGGGGGAGGGGAGTGTGTTCACTTTGCCCGGCCGCTAAGGAACCGGGCTCTTCCTCCAGTGCTGTTGGGAAGGCCAGGCTGGACTCCCTGAGATGACAGGTGGGACCAGGCGGTGTGTCTGGGAGGGTGGAGACAGGACCCTGCAGACCGGTTGGGCAACTGCAGACATCCAGACACCGGAAACAAGCCACCACGTCCAAGGCTTGGCGACTTCTGGGCTGGGAAGCTGCAGCAGAGGGTGGACTTTGGGAAGGGAGGGGACGCTGACAGCGAGGGGGACGCAGGTCTCTCCCCTGGGGTGACGGATATAGAGACGGCAAGCTCCTGTCCTGAGGCTCTGGGAGAGCTGAGGACCCACACAGGTGGCGGTTTCTGGCTCTGGCCTCTCCCCACACTGCCCGGCCCATGTCTCAGGCCCGATCCCGCCCAGCCTGCCACACGCAGCTACCCCAGGTGTCAAAGGAGAGCGCGGGAGGGGCAGCACTTGGAGATGCCCCAGGGGCCAGGCTTATTATTGTCCTCCCCCTCCCCCAACCATCCCCCCTTTCAATTCCTCACAACCCCGGCTGCCAGGGTGGGCGGGGCCAGATGAGTGGGAGCTGGGGAGGCACAGCCCAGAGGCCAGCCGGGGCCAAGAGCCACAAACCACAGTCTTCATTTCCCCACACTGGCCTCCGCCCGGCCTTGGGGTTGTCTGCCGGGAAGGCAGAGGGCAGGGGTGGGGACCCCAAGTCATCTCCTCCAGGACAGGCCACTCCCTGGCATCCTCAGGCAGGGAGGAGGGTGGGGCGCAACTGTGTGAGTCACAAAGCTTCCCTCTCCCCTCTGCCTGGGCAACACCCTGGGCCCCGCATCTGGGTGCAGGGAGGAGGTGGTGGCTAGCAGATCACCCCACTTCAGGCCATTCTCTCTGGCCTCCTCCTCCTGGGGGTCGTTCCTTTGGAGGATGAGCACTCATGGCCCCCAGGAAGTCACCCCAAAGCCACTGGCTAGGGAGCCAACAAAGCTTGCGGCCAGGCTGCCGGGCAGTGAGACCCCAGAGAGGAATAGCTGCTGCCTGCCCCTGCGTGGGA